CTTTAACCCCACGCTGGGTGGGTAGCTGAAGCTGGAGTGGTGCTGATGTAGTGGGGACTCTGTTCTGCTCGCGTTATTTCACAGCTCTCACTTGAGCTAGGCTCACTCACGGTGGTGCAAATCCCTCTATGGACCCACTTATATTGGTTTAAAATTGGCTATGTCAGTTTAACTCATGCATGTAAACCTACCAAAGCGAAACCAATATAAGAGAGTTCGCACGCAGTTACACCGGTTTAACTAAAACTGCTTAAAAATGCACCTTTAATTAAACAGGGGCAACTGTGTGCCTAGCCCAGGCCTTATTCTAGTTTCAAATGGGAAGCGACACCACAGTACAAAAGCATTTCTTAATTGGCGGTCTCAGCAGAGAGAGCAAGGGCAAGACAGGGCAGGGGTCATGGGGGAGATGCTAACAGGACAGCATGGGGAAGCACGGACTGGCGCCAGCCGTCCTGTATCGTTTCTGAAGATGAACGAAAGATCTCCGTTTCCAGGGCTGTCAACTTAGAGGGAAGTTAACTAACTCGAGGTAACTCTGCAGTGAAGACGAGCCCTATGAAGAACCCGCTGTGGGTACTTCAGAGACGGGGCTGGAGCACCAGTGGATTTAGGGTCAGGGGGAGGGGAGGCACTGGTGAAGAATGAATCTTCTAGGCAAACGGAGCAGGGGTAGCACCAACCAGCCCCATCCCTGACCCTGGAAGGGCGCTCAGTCCCCCTGGCCCATTTGGACATTGGCCTCTCTGCTCAGGGTGCCAACAGGGAGGGTGATGGCGTTCCACCCTGCAGCACCTGGGGAAGGGTGGGGCTGCCCTACTTCTCCCAGCCGCCCTTAGCGTGGGGTGCTGATCTCTGGGGTGACACAGCCCTGACCCTACCTCGCGGGGTGTGGGGGGGACGCATGGACCCTGAGATGGGGGAGGGACTCAGGCATCTAGGGACTGGCCAATCAATCCCTGGGCTGGGGGAGTAACCCAGGCAACCAGGGGGCTGTCTAGGATTTCTCCCAACAGGGTATCAGTCTCTAAGGTGGGGAAAGAACCCAGGCGTCCGGGAAAGGAGGGGTGGGAGGGCTGGTCTCTGGGTCTCCCAGCGGGGAGAAGCACATCAGTCCCTGGGGTGGGTGTAAATCCACGGGGTGGGAGAATGTTTGGGGGTGGGGGTGAACCCCGCGGCTCCCACGGGAGAAGGACCCAGGCGTCCGGGGGAGGGCTACTCGGGGATCGCAGACCCGGGAGGGGGGAGGGGAGGGACCCAGGCGTCCGGGGAGGGCTACTCGGGGATCGCAGACCCGGGAGGGGGGAGAGGGACCCAGGCATCCGGGGGGGGAAGGAGGGACCCAGGCGTCCGGGGGGTACCGACGATGGGGGGAAGGGACCCAGGCGTCCGAGGAGGGCTACCCGGGAGCCGCCGTCCATGACGGGGTGGGGGGAAGGGACCCAGGCATCCGGGAATCCCCCCGTAACTCACCCACCGACAGTCTTCAGCTTCTTCCACCCTTCTCCGTCCGAACTCTCTGGAAGCCCGGACACGCCCCCTCCCCACCCATTGGCTGCAGCCCAGCCCCGGGACACGCCCCTCACGCGCCCGCATCGCCCATTGGCCCGCGTTCCACCCGAGCCCCGCCCCCAGGAAGGGGCCGGCCCCGCCCCCTCCCCTCCAGCCACCCATTGGCTGGCGTTCCGACTGGGCTCCCGCCTCCCACCCTGCCCCCGCGGGGAGCGCGGGACCCCGCCTCCTCCCTTCCCTGATTGGCTGCCGGGCTGGCCTCTCTCCCTGCCGCATGCGCCCCAGCCCTTGGATGCAGTCCCGCCCCGCCAGGGGCATGCGCTGCTCTGATTGGTGAGACGGCTGGATAGTGTCCGCCAATCGCATGGAAGGGTGGCAATTTCAAACTCTGCCCGGAGCAGGGGACGTGGGAGGGAGAAGGGGGGAGGAGGGGGAAGGGGAGGGAGGGAGAGAGGGAGGGGAAAGGAGAGGAAGAGGGGAAGGGAGGAAGGGGGAAGAGAGAGGGGAGGGAGGGGGAAGGAAGTGGGGGGGAGGGTAAGAAGAGGAGGAAGGGAGGGGAAAGGGAGGAAGGAGAGGGGCAGGAGAAAGGATAGGGAGGGAGGAAGAAGAGGGGGAGGGGAAAGGAGGGAGGAAGAAGAGGGGGAGGGGAAAGGGGAGGAGGAAGGAGGGATGGAGAAGAGGGGAAAAGGGGAGGGGGAGAGAGGATAGGAAGGGAGAGACAGTGGAAGAGAGGCTATGGGGTGGGGGAAGGTTCAGGCCAGGGCTCTCCTAGGCTTCCCACAGGCGTTACTCTGGCCGGTTAATGTCATTGCCCAAGCCCCTCTCTGCGCCCTGTCTTTCTCTTATTGGGGGTGCTTCCTGGTTGCTGATTTAATGGTGATCCCATAGCTGAAGGATCCTGAAATTGTGGGCAACGAACAAAGCGGTCCCAATGGCTGTAAAGTCCCGCAGCCCAGGAGGGGCGATGAACAGCCCAGATACAAAAAAGGAGGGTGTGTAACTATACAGCTGCCCCCATAGTTTGTTTTTATAACTTCCATAGTTAACAGTGGAACTCACTGCCGCAAGATATAAGAGGCTAAGTCTTCAGCAGGATTTTTTTAAAAAAAGGATTAGGTATTTATATGGATAATGAGAACACCCACAGTTACACAGGATACACGTTTATAAGCGATGTCAACCTTCATGCTCCAGGGCATCACACAATCACTAATTGCCAGGGATCAGGAAGTAATTTCAGCTATGGGCCTGGCCATTCTATCTTTGTCCATGAGGCGGTTTCTTGCACCTTTCTCTGCGGTGGCTAGTATTGGTCCCTGTGCGAGCCATGATACAGGGCTTAGATAGACGACGAGTCTGATCCAATCTGGCAATTCCTTGAGATTAAATTTACAACCATCGGCAAACAGACAAAGGTGACACCATAGGGCAGCTAGAATGGAACAAGAATGCCGACAACCCGGGATATTGCAGGAAAAATGCAGACGGCAGCCGCTCTTTGCAGAGAGCAACAATATGGTGAAATGCCAACTGTCTCGCTATGCCCTAGCATGCTCATTGTGGGACTTTGTGAGGTCAGACACCAGGGATAGCTGTCTCTCTCCTAGGCTGAGAAATTTTTTTTAATTAACTGGGCTCGCAAGGAACATAGCAACTTTAGAACAGGGTAGGAGAGATCAGGGGAGGGAGACGTAATCCGTGGTTGGCTGACAGTTCCCTGGGAGAAAGGCTGCTTGTTTAATCACCTGGCTCTGGCAGCGTAAAATAGCCTTCAGGTTGGTGGGAATGACCCCCTGAGAATCTGCACTGGCTGGGGGGGGGGGATCCCTGGCAGGTGTGGAGCTGAGGTAAGGTTGTCCCCTGCATCAGCCCCTCTTCCAACCTCCAGCGTAGATGGCAGATCAGGAGTGCGGCTGGAACTTAGCGCACGGAGGCTACTCTACTTCCCAGTAGCCCTGGTGCAGAGTGAGTTAGAGCACCCCCGAGGCTGCTCGCTCTTACACCGGGATCCAGGGAGGGCCCTGCAGGCTCCAGAAAATAGAGGTGCAAAAGGCGTCTTAAACCCACCGTAACGCCCCCACCCTTTCATGGCCCAAGCCCCATAAATGAGAATATTTGTATAGATTTAAACATTATTGCTGGAGCTAAAGCTGGAATATTACAGGGTTGCTCACGTTAGAAATAACTAATTTAGACAGCTAGGTTAGATTTGGTGGCATGGCTAGATAGAGAGGTTAGATTATCTCCTCTCAGCTACAGAAGGATGGTTGCAGAGAGAGAGAGAGAAATTCGATTACTTTACATTTCTATAGGATCGCATACCCCAAAGGCTCCCAAAGTGAGGGCAATAAATTGGCTGGGCATGGGACTGGAACTCAGGAGACCTGGGGGTCTATTCCTGGCTCTGCCACTGATTGGCTGACCTGGGGCAAGTCACAGCCCTGCTCTGTGCCTCAGTTTTGCCATCTGTAAAATGGGGATAATGCTACTGGCCTCCCTTGTAAAGCAGTTTGAGAGCTATGGAGGAAAAGTGGGGGGATCAGAGCGAGGGATTATTATTCTCTATCAACATGTATGTTTTACACGCTGTGTTCAGCACCGTAATAATATTTGGCTTTACAACATGGAATAATAGTGACCTAACAGCACGGGCGATATCGTGCATTTGGATGACAGTAGCAGTCAGGTACGTCTACACGGCAAAAACAAAACACACTGCAACAGCGAGTCAGAGCCTGGGGCTACAGACTGGGGCTTGCGCTAGGATGCGCCAAATATCCATGTAGACACTCCGGTTCGGGCTGGAGCTTGGGCTCTGGTGCCCAGGGAGCAGGGTGGCTTTCAAAGCCTGGGAGGGAACACCTGAAGAGGTGAGGCTCTAAACAGCCCAAGGGTGGGGGAAACAGATTATTAGCCCCTGTTGTACAGCTGGGGAACTGGTACACCAAGAAACGAAGTGACTGGCTGAAGTCTGGACCAGAGGCAGGAATTGAGCCCAGGCCGGTGCCTTAACCACTAGGTCAACCTTCCTGCACACCTGGAGATGGGATTTAAAGCAGACCAGACAACCCCTCGCCCCCCTTCTTCAGGCTTTTGTTGCAAGTTGGACCCACACTGGCGAGAGGCCCGTTTCCTGGCTCCGGTTTGTACGCCTGGGAAATCCTGCCAGACGGCCGATCTTGCCAGACTTCAGCCGCTTTCATCTGAGCTCTCCCAAGGGTGCTCCCGTCAAATCCAAACCCCGCCTCCCGGCCTGGAAGCCCCGCTCTCTTTCCAACCTGAAACTCCCAGCGGTGTCCTGCAAAAAGCATTCCCGGCCTTTGCAATGTGCTGCCGGAGGCTCTAGGTGGTGCCCTGACCACTGCCTGAAACAGGGCCTGGCTATGCTCCAACAGCGGTGACAAATCCATAGGAGGGTTTTAAAATACCTCCCGCGCTGGCAAGGCAGGTGGGCAGAGAGGCAACGCTTTGGTGTTGCTTGTTTATTATTATTCTTTTTTAATTTCCCTCCTTGGCGTCTGCAGAAAAATAAAAATAAATAAATAAAAATAAAGATCCAGAGGAGGAAAAGACAGACCGTGATGGAAGTTGTGTTATGGCAACATCCAGGGGCCTTCAATGAGATCAGGGCCCCTGCGGTGCTTGGTGCTGTACGTCCCCACCATGAAAGACAGTCCCTGTCCTCAAAGAGCTCGCAGTCATAGAATATCAGGGTTGGAAGGGACCTCAGGAGGTCACCTAGTCCAAGCAGACAGGAAGGATTATTATCCCTATTGGACAGGTGGGGGAAACTGAGGCACAGAGCAATGCCATGGCTTGCCCAAGATCACAGAGGGAGTTTGAGATGCTGAACCCAGACCTCCTGAGTCCTAGCCCAGTGCCTTAATGGCAAGGCCAGAAGGGCTGCTTCCAGCCCAGGGTGGGCATGACAGTCGTTTGCCACCAGCGTAGCGGCGCAGCAGCCTGTGTAAGTGAGTTTGTGGGGTCTCCTTCCACTCCCCAATGAACAGATCAAGGCCTTCACCCCAGCTAGGGGTATGTCTACACTGAAAAAAAGAAAAATCCTGCAGCGGTGAGCCCCAGAGCCCTAGTCTGCAGCGCTGGGGAGGGGGCTGGTTTCCAGAGCCCAAGCTCCAGCCGGAGCAGGAACGTCTACACAGCTGGTTTTAGTCGATCTGTAGATCCAGGCTCTGAGATTTGACGCCGCTGGAGTTTTTTTTTATTTTTGGCAGTGTAGACGTACCCCAGGATTAAACAGCCGCTGCCCAGTGACCTCCCCCCTCTGCACTAAACAGGGTGTCTCCAGGGAGGGGCTGATGCCCAGGTTGTGGGGAAACCCCACCCTGCTTCTCCCCATGCTGGATCAAGAGAGGAGACTTGCTGCTCTCGAAGCGGCGGCCCGGATCCCCTTTTGCCTCCCATCCCTGCAGCTTCTTCTCGGGGAGAAAAAAAAGGGGTGTGAGAAAAAACTCCCTTCCTGGAGAGAAACCTCTTCTGGGTCAGCTGTTTTCCACCTGCAGCAGAGTGGGGTGAGAGCTTAAAATAAACCCCTCAATTGCAGGCCTTTCTTTCCTCTTGCGCCAGAGAGGCTGGCTCAGGAAAGAGGCATTTCCGCTCCCTTTCAGAAACGTCTTAGTCACCCAGCGCCAGGCCCTGATGTCATTTCATTATCTGCAAAAGCCTGTGCGGCAGAGAGCTAGAGCCGAGCCTGCCTCTTCCCTGCATGGAGAGATACGCTTTGCACGTGGAGATCCCGCGTGAGCGGTACAAGCCTGGTGCCTACGAGGCCCAGGGAGCTTTCACCTGGCCGTGACTCGCTCCAGTGCTTAATTTAGGCTTGGCAGTTCATAGCCCCGGCACCTCTGGGTTTGCTGCATTAGTTACGAAAGTCAAAAAATTGCTTGTGTCCCGGCACCTCTTCCCTGACAAATTAAGCACAGTCAAACTTCGTGGAGGCCTTGTCTCCACTAAGATTTGACATGGAGATGGCTTTTGGGATAGGAAAAACACACCCTCTTTTTTGCAGCGAAGTCGAGGGGGACCGAGAGAGAAAGCACACAAACGAGAGAGGCAGAGAGCGATGGAGAAAGAGCCAGTTGTTCTGTCTTCCCTGCACTCTGGAGACTGGTGCTTCCGCCCCATCCCGAGCTGCATCTTTGCCCCTGATTAGCAACAGATGGAGAATCTGGAAAGAACTGGATTTTTCCCCCTCTGGGGGTCGGAATTTGGTTCCCCTGGTCTCCGCGGGAGGTGGGAGTGGGTCAGAGCCAGCCAATGCGTGGCTGATGGAGGGGGAGACCCTGCCTGGGAAGAGAGGGGGAAAGAAACGCTGTAGGTTTAAAACAAAGTGCAGAAGGATCACAAAGGGAGAGCCCATAGGTTAGCTCTTTTAAGGCAGATTGGAGGGGAGCTGGGGGCTAGGAGGTGGAGATGTGGGGGGGAAATAGAAGTGTAACCTTTTATTTTTATTTAAGTGAATTTAGCGATGTTCTATTATGCCACTGCGGGTACTACTCAAGCGCAACAGTTACCTCTGCCACTTCTTTCACGTCTAGAGCTTCTAGGAACATATGAAGATCAAGGAAAGTAACACAGACAGTCACAAGAAAAACATCTCATATCCTCTATCAATTTTATTAACATTACCAACGAAGTTATGTCTATCCAAGCACAGATAAATCCTACCTCTATTCATGCACAATTTATAGGTACGGTCATACTCACGTCCTCCTAGATGGTCTTAGGGTGTGACGGGTCTCTCGTGGAGCAGTAGAGAGATGGTTCCTGCTGGAGTTTTCCCGTAGGGAGGTCAGTTTTCCTAACCTTCTTTTATAATGGGATTCAGACTACACCTCGTACTCAGCACATGTGCGTGAAAGTGTCAGGTACCCCGTTTTCTAGAGGTTGTAGATCATTTCTTTTATTCTCGTTAGCAGTGACGCACGACCTGTATCCTGTGGGAAGGCACTCGTTAGAAAAATGAAAGTGTCTCTAAGGCATCGTGTGATCGAAAATGAATCTTATGGTGAATTTTTCGCAATACCACCCATTGGTACATCTTTTCCCCTAATCTTGTGGCATTGGGTTATTCTTTGGTCACTTACGTCAAGCATTTCTTAACTCTATGGCCTAATATGGCTAAGCTAAAAATCTTACAGGCCTCAGCCTGGAGGCCTTGCATTTCAGCCCTCCTTATTTGACACCTAATGCATACTTACCCCTTCTAACTCCTGATCAATCTTAGACTTCTATAATCCTCGCATCACCCGGTAAATGAACGATAAAATAAAGTAATTGGCCACAGGAGGGAACAGATCCAATCCGAAGCAGATAAAAAGAAACGCTTTTGCACACAACGCACAGTTAGCCTGTGGGACTCATTGCCACAGGGTCTTGCCGAGAGCCTAGCAGGATGCAGAAAGGTTTGGGCATTTATAGCGATAATGAGAGTACCCAGGACTATAACAGTGAGGGTTTAAAACAGAAGCAAGGGCCTGATGCGCCTTGGCAGGGTGGTGTAAAGGGGCCCTGGTGTCAGAGGAGCTGAATTCTCCAGTTCCAGAGCATCAACCAACCTCTTGCTCACATGGCTTAGAAAAACTTTCCCCGGGGGTGATAATTCCACAATTGCCCACTAGGGGAGTTTCTTGCACCTCCCTCCGCAGCCGCTGGTCCCACCGGTTTCCGGATGTGCCTAGTGATTTCTGGGAGGCCAGCTTGAGACACCCGAAAGGGGCCTGATATTTCTCCGAGATCCAGGCCCCCTTTACGGTGTCTCACGTTGGGGCACCCAAAATCATTAGGCAGTTTCACAAAATCTTGGCCCAGGATCCTGGTCTCTATGGCCTGCTGGTCTGAGCTGAGGGTCTTTGATGTTCCTCCGGGGACGAAAAACAGCAGGAAACCAAGCGACTTGTCTTCACTCCCAAGGCCCTTCACGGCCTCTCTCTCATTCGTTATCGAGAGGTCGCCTTCCATCTCTGACTGGCGCCAGCCTCCATCGCCTACTGGTTACAAACAAGCCCCTTTGTGCTTTTCCCCTGCTACCCCTCACGCCCCCCGTAAATGCCCACAAAGCCCCCCCTTACCCTCCAAACCGCTCCTTAAAACTCTCCTGGGCCGTGATGCCTGTGGAAAAACCTTGACAGTGGTTAGGCAGCAGCTGTGCTGTCAGTTATTGGCTCATTCTTCCCTTGCTCTCGGTCTGTCTGTCCCCACCCATTGTCTCTTGCTGCGTCATCTTTAGATTGGAAGCGCTTTGGGGCGGGGACTGTCTTTTTGTTCTGTGTCCGGACAGCGCCTAGCACGCCGCCGACCTGATCTGTGACTAGGGCCCCCGGGTGCTGCTTCCAGACCAATAAATAAAATAGCAACGGTAATGGGGGTTGTAGGGGATTCAAACGGGATAAGATCATCTGGAAGCCGACCCAGCAGCTCCGAAGTGGACTCCCACCTTCAGCTAGAGGGAGATTATTAATCTCTATGTCCTGACACTCCTGATCTGAAATCCAACCCAGCACCACAGCTGTCAGCCAACTGGAGTTCCAACGACCCCCTTTGCTAAATGGAGCAGCGGGGTGGGGAAGGGGCTGGAATCCGCAGCGAGTTCCATTGGGATGCTTCTGCCGGCGTGTGATATACGGCAGAGGGGCTGGGAATGCCCTCCTCGCACCGTCCCCCAGCCCCCCTTTGCGGTGCTGCAAATCCGGGTCTTCCAGCAGCCCTGCCTTCAGTTCCACTCATGGGTTTGGAGACGCAGCCGGGTTCGGGAGACACAACCTTCTAGTCACTGGATGGGAGGCAGCCGCCAGATCCCCAAAGGGATTTAGGTGCCTGATTCGCATCGGAGTTAGGCACCTAACTATCTTTGAGGCTCTGGGCCAGTGCGCTTTAGCAGAGAGGGAGCTGGCTCCGAGCTCAGGACACCTGGGTCCTGTTTCCATCTTTGCCACTGATCTGCTGGGTGCCCTCAGGCAAGTCACCTCCTCGCTTTGTGCCTCAGTTTCCCCGCTCCGCCTTGTCTGTTTAGATACTGAGCTTTTCCGGGACCGTCTCTGGCTCGAGCTGTGCAGCGCCCAGCTGTATTGTGGTGCTACTTGAATAAACCAAATGAATCTTGCCCGCTGTACCTCACTCCCCTGGGTGCTCTCACTTAGTCACCGCGCTCGCCTTCACTTCCCGTCCTAAACTGTGTGACGTTTGTGATTCATGTTGCACCTAGGAACCCCGGTCATGGGCCAGCGTGCAAGGCGCTGTACAAAGCACTCTATCTGCCTTTTCAGTGGTGATCCTGGTATCGATGGCTAAATCTGTGCGCAGCTAAATCATAGAAAGGCACCTGAGGTTTGGCCACGGGGTGGGAAGTGCATTGGAAACCTCTGGGAGAAACACCCCCCCCCCCCGCCAAAAAAAAACCCAACAACTATTATAAGGCAAGCCCACAGCCACACAGATTTGAATCATAGAATATCAGGGTTGGAAGGGACCTCAGGAGGTATCTAGTCCAACCCGCTGCTCCAAGCAGGACCAACCCCAACTAAATCATCCCAGCCAGGGCTTTGTCAAGCCTGACCTTAAAAACCAATAAGGAAGGAGATTCCACCACCTCCCTAGGGAACCCATTCCAGTGCTTCACCACCCTCCTAGGGAAAAAGTTTTTCCTAATATCCAACCTAAACCTCCCCCAAGGTTTGAGGTATGGAACCCCCGTCCCATGGGTTGCCAGTGGGACCCTCTGCACTAAAAACATGGCCTGCTCCCACTCGAGCTAAGGGAGCAATTCCTCTAGGCAGCAGCAGTAGTAGGCTCCTTATCTTCTGTATGTATCCGGTGCAGCGCTTAGCCAGCACGTGTTGGATCTTCAGGAACGGACAGCTCCATGCACTGGTCCATTGAGGGGTGTTCAGTGATCCTGCCCAGCCCTTAAAAGCCCAGGCCCCACTACCACACGGTCAATGGGAGATGCCAGGGGCCGGCTTATTTATCTCACGCCACCTGTGAGGAGACGGGGCCAGAGAACAGCTGAATAGCTAGGAAGGAAAAGCAGGAGATTTGTCCCTGGCTTCCTCCTGCCGATGCTGTGGAGGTCACTGAGTCAGTTCCTTGCATAGAAACCATCGGGCTGCTCCCTGCCCCATGCCAGTTTCACGTCTAACCCGCCTCGGGCCTGGGCTTGGTTTGGTTAACCCTTTGGATGCTGCGCTGGTGGTCATCACCCGGATGCTGCCCCAGGTTCACTTCAAAGCCATTCAGATCCGGCACCTGGGGCCAGTGCCGCTAAGCGGGAGGGCTGCCCTAGTCTGGGCTTCTGCTTCATTGGCCCCTGTGGGCCTTTGCCATGGTGCAGAATAACCAGGGGGCACAGGCTGTCCCCCCTCCTTTCCCCTTCTCCCTCCAGAGCGCTGCTGGGGAATGGACTCCATGCCTGGGAGGTGGCAGCCCAGCTGTCGCACAGCGCAGCTGTGGGTCAGGTCCCTGGTGCCTCTCTGTGGCCATGGTTGCCCAGCAAACTCAAGCCTGCACCTGCCTCCCCCCGCACTCCTTCCTTGCTATCTGTCTTGAATCTGATTTCCTTCCCCAACGGCACATGCCTGGCCCGTGCCCGGGGAGGGAAAGGGCTCGGGGGCCGCATTCCATCCCGACCTTGCTGGGGGACATGGTGCCCGTCCTCTGACCTCTGGAGGGCAGCCCCCCACCCCAGACTCTGGGAAACATCACACTCGGGGGCATGGGCAGCAATCAAAAGTCATCCATTGTACTGTTCTACACCCTTGCCCCCTGCATTTCTCCTGCTGGCTGGGGCGACTCGGATGGACGTTGGACAAATAGAGCACTGACCGGGATCAGAACCGCATGTGAGAGGCAGGGTGGGGCTCCAAGGGGCCGTTGCTCCCCCCCCGGAGGGGCACCCAACTAGGGGCTGACCAGAGCCATTAGCAGAGGCGGGGCCCGATTCCCAGATGGGGTGGGAGGGCAAGGGGGTGAAGGCGGCTTGAAGCCATTTTTGCACTCCCAGTCGACATTTTTTAGGGGTCTGCAAATGAAGAGTTGAAAACCACTGTTTGAAGCCACCTTAAACCACTTTTGTGCTCCCCCGCCTCTCCCCCCACTCTTGGTCCGCCCAGACTTTCCCAGCCCCTGGGATAACTTACACGCTGCTCCACGTGGCCGCTGGGATTGGGAATAGCCACAGCACGGTGCCCACCGGCCACACCCCCGACACGCCACCTACATTGCTAGCTGGGAGCAGGGCCCTTAGGCGCTGTGCAGTCAGGGATGCCCCCTGCGCAGCATGTGGGTTCTCAGGGGCTCCTTTCCACCCGCTTTAAGGCCCCTGGGAGCTGCCGGAGCGGCCTCCACGTTGCTAAGAGCCAGACCCAAAGGTTCTTAGCTGCCAAAGCGCCGGGCCCCACAGAAATGGCCTGAGAAAGGAGGACAAAGAGCCGGGGGGAGGAGGAAGAGGATGATGGAGGATTCCAGGGGGCTTTGATGCAGCCGGGGGGTGATGTCATTCCTTCCCTCCCGACTGGAGGCAGGGGCTAGGGGAGGGAGCTGCTGTTTCCCTCGTTAATTACCAGCTTGATGGAGGGTGGTTGACCGCAAGCCAAGACTGGGGGGGGGATGGGGGAGGCAGGGGAAGCCGCATGATGTCATTCCTTTGCCCCCCACACGCACTAATTAAAACGAGACCGTTTGGGAGGCTGGAACAATGCTGATCGGGAAGGGGGCCTCTGGCTCTGAGCAGTGGCTTTTGCAGACTACAGGCTAGGGCTGCCATATAGCCGAGGAGACCTGCAGGGCGCTGGGCCACTCTCCCCCTCGCTGGTTCATGGAGTTTTTCCTGCTGCAACCTGCTTGGGGAAGTGGAACGCAGAACAATTGCACCCTGGGGCCGGTGGCCTCCACAGCGCTGGAGAAACTGCACCTCGCATGGATCGTGGTGCCGAGCTGCAGCAGCCACTGCTGGGGCGGGGCGCGGCGCGGTGGCCGTTTATACAGGGAATCGCTCACCTCATGGTCAGATGCAGCCACTGCTGGGGCAGGGCGCGGTGGCCGTTTATACAGGGAATCGCTCACCTCATGGTCAGATGCAGCCACTGCTGGGGCAGGGCACGGTGGCCGTTTATACCGGGATTGCACAAAGGGACTAGGGCTCCTTTCTAGCTTTGTGGTGCCGTCAAGCCTGTCTTCTACTCCCAAGCCCATGCCTCTGGACCACACTGCCTTTCACCCTCCCACTGATCCAATATCTCCCTTCCATCCATGCCTTCCTTGCACCTCACTCTGCACCCCCCGCTCTCCTCTGGCCCTGGCTTCCCTTCCTTTTGCTTAGTGGGCTTCAGCTTGCTCTAACCACAGCCCTGGGGCCCCGTCTGCTGTTATAGGCTGGGTTCAACAACAACCAGGGCGTTCACGGCTTGGGAAATGGCTGGTTCTGGATGCCGGGGCCAGACCGGCTGGTGCTTTTCAGAGCTGGGTTTGCTCACCTCTGCTGACCAGGCGCTCTTCCAAATCACAGCAGCTGGGAACAGCACCTCCTGATTCCCAGCCTAGTGCACCAACCACTGGGCCACGCTGCCTCTTGTCCCCTTCCTTAATGTCATCCTCGCACCCTTAGTTACAATCTCGACTTCCGTCCTAAATAACCCCCCTCTGCCTTCGGGTTTATCCCCTTCACAAGCCCCTGTAGACACGTCCGCCCTCAAAGCCACCTGGGAGCCAAGCTGTAGAAATATCAAGCTCTTCGAATCTGCATGGACCCCCCCCCAAAATGCACTGTTCTGTTGCAGCAACTGAGCGCGACCTGCAACGGGGGACGTCCCGTCCAGGGGTTAGAAATCAGACCTGGGAGTCAGGACACCTGGGTTTTTATTCCAGACTCTGCTGACCTGGGCCAAGTCACCGTGCCTCAGTTTCCCCATGTGGAAAATGGGCTTAGATCATTTGTGTCTAGAAAGTACTGCGAGATCCTTGCGCAGAAGGACAAAAGAGAAGATTCTGGGGGTGCTGGCTAAGGGGTTGGGATCCCACTGCGGGCCTGCGCTACGCAATCCAGCAGCAGCGTCTCGGAATGCGGGAGCAGCAGCCGGCATGGCTGGTTTTCATGTAACGTGAGCCGGCACTGGCCAGAAACGCCGCTCAGTTACTCCAGATCCCCCCCCTCGCTCTCTAGGTCTCCCCCCCCCAATACATCCCAGCTCTGATGGATGGCTCCAAACACACATTCCAGCAGCTGCCCCGCTCCCCGAGCTGACAAATTTAATCTGCCTCCGGTCAAAGGTCCCGCCGGCTGCATTCTGGGGTGAGAGCCGGAAAATCCCGGCTTGCTGTTTTCAGACTCGTGCTGGCAACAGCTGGGACGGTGGTGGGGTGGGAGTGGGGGGGATGCACCGAACAGAAGTATGAACAGAGCAGCTGCTGCTGACTAGAAAGGCCCCTAAGTAAGGGGAGATCTTATTATAGAGCATGGGGAGCTGCCTTTCCTGGCTCTCAGCTGTGTCCATGGGGGGCACGTGCCCAGCATTGAGGCAGGGGCTTGGTCAGGGTTGGCGAGGGGGCAGGAAAGGGGTGAATGCCAGGATGTAGCTGGGAACCTCTGAACACAGAGCTTGGGAAGGTATAGCCTCCCCCCCGCAGCTTTGCCAGCCATCCTGATTTTCAGGGGTGCGGGGTCAGATTGGTGTCATCAGCGGATGATGCGGTGGCAGATGACATCACGGCATTGCATTGCTGCATCATGATGTCACCTTGCGCCAGGCCGCGAAACGACGTGATCGCTCACCTGGCGGTCAGATGCAGCCACTGCTGGGGCGGGGCGCGGTGGCCGTTTATACAGGGATCGCTCACCCGGCGGTCAGATGCAGCCACTGCTGGGGCGGGGCGGCCATTTATACAGAGATCGTTCACCCGGTGGTCAGATGCAGCCACTGCTGGGGCGGGGCGCGGTGGCCGTTTATACAGGGATCCCTCACCCAGCAGTCAGATGCAGCCACTGCTGGGCTGGGGCGCGGTGGCCGTTTATACAGGGATCGCTCACCTAGCGGTCAGATGCAGCCACTCCTGGGGTGGGGCGCGGTGGCCGTTTATACAGGGATCGCTCACCTGGCGGTCAGATGCAGCCACTGTTGGGGTGGGGCGCGGTGGCCGTTTATACAGGGATCCCTCACCCGGCGGTGAGATGCAGCCACTGCTGGGCTGGGGTGGGGACAAGCTAGGATGGCTGGCGGCAGATCCACCTCATCCCACCACGATGCGGTGACACAATGACACACGGCCGGGCAGCTCTATGGCCCCCCCCCCACAACGGGATGGGATGGCCCCCAATGGAGGGGTGACAAACGAACTCATCGACGGGTGCACCCCCTCATGGTGGGGTGGGGCCTAGCAGGGTCTCCTCTGCCGGCGCCCACCCCGCTGACAGCCGCTCCGGTCCTGCGGTTGTTTGGTTGTTGGGACTTGACCCACCAGCTTGGTGGCTTGCAGTCCTATCCCTGCGGGGGTAAACTGAGTCCCAGCAGGGTCACCCCAGCTCTCCTGCCTGCCTCCAGAGCCATTCATCCTTTCTACCCCTTGACTTTCACACCCGCTTCATTGGGGGCTGGGCAGGGGACCCTGGACACCTTTTTACTCCTGGTTGCAGCTAAGGTCTGTTTGCCTCTAGGCCTTTCCACCAGCCCCTTCCTGGGCCCACTCCTCCACAGAGCCCCAGAGGAAAACCCCGCAGTCCCAGGGAACACGGAACAGTCCCACTGCCTGCCCCGAGGAAGCTCTCGCATGTAGCAGCCTCTGGCTGTCCGCTGGCCCCAGCCAGGTCATCTTCCAAGGTTTTGGCATGAGGTCTTCTCCTCCTCCCACTCCGCCCCTATTGAGGTGGGCTGCCCCCTCCCCTCCTTTTAACCCCTGTCTCCAGGCAGGTGAAGCAGGGTGGGGCTGATTGAACTCCCAGGCTGCCATTAACCCCTTCCTGCCTAGCACGGGGTTGACACCGCGGATCAGGCCCCTCGCTGAGCTCGCCTTCCGCCACGACACCATCACGGCGAGATGGGGCGGCCCAGGATGCTCGGGGGGCAGATCTGCGTCAGCACGTGGCGCGTTGACGTCGCTGCCCGGCGTTGCTAGTGGGCGGTGGCACCCAGCCCCCCGATGGGATGCGACACAAGCCTGGGCTCGGGGGAAGGGGAAGGGGAAGGCTCGGGATACCAGAAGCCCTCTGGAAAATGGGCTGTTTTTTGTGACCTGATCGGAGGGACCAGTGACCATTTCAAGGTCTGAGCTCACAGGAAGCGAGCCCCGTGCCTTGACCTCGTGGCCGCTCTCAATGCAAGGCAGAAAGCAGAGGCACTGTGGCTCGGGTCATTGGACCAGGACACGGAACATCTGGGTTCCTATGTGTGTGCAGTGACTGGCCCAATGGGACCCTGACCTAGGCACGGAGCCAGGAAGAGACTTGCCCAACTCACCCAGTGGCAGAGCCAGGATTAGAACCCAGGGCCTAGTGCTCTATCCACTAGACGACACTACCCCCATGTTTTTTGCTTAGAGTGAGCGTGTCTTTTTGCTAGTGGAAATCCACTACCATTCGCTAACGCGGTGGCATAGGGAGACGTCCTGGCTCCATTGCAGGGTTAGGATTTCACCCACTGGGGCCCCAGGGACCATCCGAGAGCCTTTCATAACAGGATCTCCCACCCGCTTAATGAGTCATCAGTGAATTTAAACTCCCAACCTGCACCCCTGCTGTCACCCCTCTGTTTTGTAGGTGGGGAAACTGAGGCACAGAAAAAAAAAGACTTGCCCGAGGTCATGCAGTGGGCCTGAAGCAAGAATGGAACGCACATCTCCTAGTACCCCTGGTGCTCCAACCAACAGGCCGCACTCCCTCCCCGAGCCAGGGACAGCATCCAGGACTTCTGCCTACCAGATCCCTCGCTCTGACCATGAGACGGGGCTAGAACACAGGCGTCTAGATTCCCATCACCCCCTGCTCTAACCACAAGGCTCCACCCCCTTTGCTCATGCCCACCCCACCCAATGCTCACACACACACACACACAAAATCAGCCAAACTACTAAACTGGGGGAAAAATTAAAGTTTTTTAAATTATTTGTATCAATTCTCTCCCTCGCCGGGCATTCCTCTGGGGCTGCAAGAAGCCGCCAGCGCATTCCGCATTTCCTCACATTGCAGCCAGGGCCTTCCATTGTCTCCGGGATCACAGCGAAGTCTTTGGAGCCGGGACAAAGAGCAGGAGAATAAATAGAACGGTGACATACACACATGATGCATGCATGCAAAAAAACCCCATCAATTTCATTCAGTTGCAAACAGGGCCTGGGCAAAGCGCTTTATATTTAGCATCCCCAGGGAGACGGGGGCTTTTTTTGGTTGGCGGGTGTGGGAGATAAGAGATATTTTTTGGTCCTTCCCTTATAAGGCTCATGTATATGGGGAGCTGTGCAGAGTGA